TACTTTTTAATCTTGCACAATACATATGTTCTATATTATCAGTAACAAGATTTATCTGTTAAAATTTACAGAATACAATGTTGATTTTATTCCATATAACATAAGCGAGAGTGATTTCGAGCCGTCATTTAACTTATTGCATCTGTAAAGTGTAAAAATTACATTTTTCAAAATTAATTTTGTCATTAAAAATATGTTAACTTTACACAAAAGTTATTTCAAATTATTTTGAGATTTACATTTATTTTGTGTTGAAATATTAACAGAGTGCGATCATTTAACATATCCATATTATGTTAAATTAACCCAAAGCTTTGTGTGGACCGCTCGGGACATGGGATATCTGTTAAATTTAACACAAATTATTCAACTGTGTGCGTAGTGAATAATGCTTGCAAGAATCACACTGATTTTCCGCGGCGTGAGTTGATATTTTAATTATTTCGCACAAATTATATTTTTGCGAATTAATGTCGAGCATTGCAAAATCATTTTCCACGCACTCGCAACTGCGATGCACGTGTACATCAGTCGTGGTCAGTAGCGCGATTCTGTAACTCGTTATGTCGTCGTTACGGACTTTGCGCAGCTTTTCTACGGTATATTAGATCTGCGCAAAGCCCGTAACGACGACATAACGAGTTACAGAATCGCACTACAGGAAGGTTGTCCAACGTTTTACGATAAATTTCGGAAACGCAGCCTATCATGCGCGAGAGATTATAGCTTTTGCTCGCGGACATGTGCAGTGACGTATTATTAAAGCAAAGGGATGATACAGTACGAATATCTATGCAGTGGTACATACGAATATTCCGGCAAACTTATTGTAAAACGTCGGACAACCTTTCTGACCACGACCGTATACGAAATTACGACTTGTGTTGTTACGACAAAGACAAAGCGCGTAGAGCTGCTTCTTACAATATTATTTATTTAAGCCTAGCATACAGTAATATCTAATTGTAAGGTATGGTATTTCTATTATATAATATATAGATCTGTTCCTTTTCTTCGGTGAGATATACAGCTGAAGGAATATTGCAGTATTTCATATAATTCCGTACACAATAACATATCAATAGCCTAAGTGTCAAAGCGTCCTGTAATAGCTATTACTTACAAATCTATCGTTTAGTTTAGTTATTATCGGTGTATAGACAATTTATCGAATCTGAAACGATTTGATTATCAGTTGAAAGTAGCAACGTGGTGTTCCATTCCATAAAGAATTAGTACATCAACTCTTTTCTTTTTTTTTTTCTTCAATGACAACAACTAGTTTTGCAATCTCTTAGATGCGCCGAGAGTTTATCAGCCGAATAGTAGGCAAAACTACCTCACTTCCCTCTCCGTTTCAACAACATAAAGTTATTTGACGTATTGACATATTTAACATTGCTAAATTACATGCTAATACCGTAGTGCAACTAGTAAGGTCCACTCCGTCATTTGTTTCGTTTCGCGCCGTCGATCCCTTTTGCGCACCCGACATTTTGTCGGTCCAGCCTTTTCGTACGTGTGGTAGTGCGATTTAAACGAGTACACACACACACACACACACACACACATGCGTACGTGTGTACGTACAAACACACACGCCGGCGGATTTGGACCAAAGGCATGATCGGAACCGCAAAGATTAAAGGCGCCGACAGATGTCCGGTTTTTCATCTGCTGGTTAAATGTTAACCGGAAGTTAGTCGACTGTCCGTCTTTTCTTAGATAATAAGGTGGAAAAAAGATTGAGAGTCGACTAACCTCTGGTGAACGGTTAACCAGAAAATGAGAAACCGGGCCAGGGCCCAGTGAGAAATGATTTGTCGATCGATGTCAAAACGATGTCGAATCGACATCGATACCGTCAAATTGACGTCGATTCGACATCGTTTCGACATTGATCGACGAATCATTTCCCTCTGGGGGGGGGGGGGTGGACCTACTAGTTACGCTATGCTAATACCTTGCCAATACCTTCGGAGATTCCAACCTTGGAGATTCGTGTTCATCGCACAAAATTTATTTTATCAGTCACTCTGTTAATGCTTGAAAATGTAGGAATCGATAATTATATCCTTCCTACAATTCGATCACTTTCTATGGTACAAGCTAACTTCCTCGTCTGCTTTTAAACGGTCGAATTTGCGCATGAGTCTATATGAAGTATTCTTAAAAAAACAATATAATATTTAGGAAATATTTAAAAACTACTTTAGGGAATAATAAATTCAAGTACACGATATACAAAGTAAAACAATTAAATCGTGCAGAGGGTGTGTTTAAGGAGTCGTTCGTTGGCTACAGAATCACATTAAATCCTTTTTCCGCGTTTCGCATTAAACAATCGTTGCAGTCACGACGATCCGTACAACCGTGTCGTAATCGCATTAATCTCGAAGAGACCGGTACAATTCGCGGTATTTGGCGGCGGAGTGAAATAAATCCGTTCCACGCGTGTCCCGGAAAAGCCTATTGTCGGAGGCAATCGTTTATAAATGTACAGGCAAGCCAAAAATCGTCACATGAGACACCTTGTAGCGCGAGGCACACCCGACATTTTTACATATCTCTCGGTCGGAGGTGGACTCGAAATATACCCGCGTCAACCCTTCCAGTTGTCATTTAAATTTTTCCTATGATCTCTCCCGTATTTTGATTTGATTATTTAACATATAAATAATTTATGTATTTATATATATGTACATAGATCTTTTAATCTTACATTTGTTAATTTGCAATAATGTATGTACATATACAGGTACATACACCGGCACACATATCTGTGTACTCTCTCGTAAACGACACTTTGCCTGTTGTATGCTTTTCGTATCGATTAGCCGAGCGGAAATTTAAGCTCGCGGAGCCATTCGTGTATGTACTCTCATTGAAAATAAAGCGTCCGCTGATTTACTATACGGGGTGTCACCTCTGAGTTGAGCACGTGGAATATCTCCAAACGCGCAAGTTCCGGAAGGAAACTTTTCAGACAAAAGTTGTGGGTTTCAAGTAACGCGTCACAGAGCAATATCTGTGTGACCTCGATGGCGTTGTCAGAATCGCGCGAAGGTCATCTGAAATTTCTTAAATGGAATCCCCTATTGTTTATTACACTATCTTACAGTACTAATTAATATGAACAACTTTTGTCTGAAACCTTTTTTGATTTGCCTGATACTTTTTGAGATATTCAAGAGAAAATTTGTAACTTTTTCAATATCTAGCTTATGATATCTCGATAACTGTTTGTCGGAGGGAAAAGTAGTACAGGACTTTTTTTTTACTTGATTTGGTCTCAGGAATATGGCGTTCCCATACAGCACTCAAATGTTGAATCAGCATCTCAGAAACGTTCCATTACAACATTGCAATATTGCATCAATGTTACGAAATGTGGATTCAACGTTGAAAAGATATTGCAAAAACATCTAAATCCGCTGAATTGTAATGTCTTGTAAACGCTACAATTCAACATTCAGAGAACATTGTTAAATTATATTGAGTTAGCATTGGTCGCGTATAGTAGAATATTTTTACAACTGTTGGAAGTGCTGAAATTAAATTATTCCACTAAAATAATAATCCAATCTTAGCTCAGAAAATTTCTGACCCTTG